GGAATTGGATGGGAGTCCGACCGCTGAATCTCATGCCTCCCTGGCAGGGGCGATGTGCATGGTGGTGAGTGGTCTGGTGCCCTCGCTGGGCCTGAAGCTGTTCTCGGAGCCTGAAAAGGTCCAGGTGCTGATCCTGGAGACGCTGTGGGGCTGCCTGCGGACTGAAGGCTTTTAGGCGCTGGCCTCAGGCACCATCCACATCTTCAAGGAGAAGCTCAGCCACCCAGACGCCCGCATCCACAGCTGCACCACACAGGCCCTCATGGCCATCAGATCAAGAAAGATAATTATTAGGATTAATAAGATTAATAGTAGTAGTATTATTCCCCGTCCCTTAATCTGTTTCTGAATCTATTGATAGTAGCCAGGTACTGCATCTGTAGCTTTATTGTATTGCCTTTCCTTTACTCCAGGCACAATAATAATGCCTGCATAATGCCTCTTTCCTTGAAGCTATTATTATTATTATTATTATTAGAAACACAACAAGATGAATCCACAGCAGACACTCTGCTGGCTGTTGAATTGGATCACACGTCGGACACTTCCCAAGTGTCTAGGACTGTGTGATATATTGGCGAATAATGCGTGCAGATCCCAGTAAAGTGGCCTTCTGCAGCTGGCAGATGGTTATTATTATTATTATTACTGTTATTATTATTATTCCCCTATCCCTGGGCAATGCTTCATGTCCCTTAATCCGTTCTCTGAATCTATTTGGAGTCGCTTATTATTATTAATAATAATAATAATAATTTCCCTGTCCCAATGTAATGCTTCATTTCCCTTAATCCATTGTCTGAATCCCTTTGGAGTAGACAGATATTATTATTATTATTATTATTATTATTATTATTATTATGCCTCTATACCTGTTTGATGCTGTCTTGCCCTTAATTTGTCATCTGAATCCCTTTGGAGTAGCCAGATCTTCCTGTGCTGGCTCTGTACCTGTCTTGTGCTGCCTTTTCCCTATGCATTATCCCCAATCATTAATGCATTGATCAATTATTATTATTTTTCCCAGCATCCCTTTGCAAGGGAAGAACACTGTCTTGGAGGAAGACATCTTCCTGGATCTGGTTTTGCTTCTGGGGGAAGAAGACCCCAAAGTCCGTGCCAACGCCGCCAGGATACTCATGTTCACAACCACCACTACACCTGGTAAGACATTTCTAATCTAGATAGATATATATACATACAGATATACATATATGATATTAACCTTGTAAGAATTGAGCTCCTACTCCTGGGAGTCTCTTTCAAATGGATATCATAAGTTGAAGCTAACCGGATCGCAATTAATAGCAATACAAAATAAGATTGTCAGAACGCATACTATGTACCCTGGGTTTGCTATACGATGTCTTCTGGACCCCAGGTTTTATTATCCTGTGTCTCCCCAACCTCAATTGTGTTATGCTATGTCTCCCAGACACAAATTTGTGTCATACTGTATTTCCCTGATCCCAATATTTTGTCACACGATGTTGCCCAGATCCCAATTTTGATCATACTGTGTCTCCCTGACTCTTAATTTTTGCCATACTATGTCTCCCAGACTTCAATACTATGTCTCCCAGAACCCAATTTCGTCACACTGTGTCTCCCAGACTTCAATATTATGTCTCCCAGACTTCCATTTTTGGCATACTAGGTCTCCCAGCCACCAACTTTGGACATATTATGTCTCCTGCACCTCAATTTTTGATGTACTGTGTCTCCTAGGATGTTTCCCTGGTCCCAGTTTTTGATGGCATCACGCACTATTGTACCAACTTGTATGTACAATGTCACTTAGACCCCAATTGTTGTCATCCCCCATGTCTCTCAGACGCCGTTTTTTGCATACTATGTCTTCCAGATCCTGATGTATGCCATAGTATGTCTCTTGGACTACTCCTGGCTTTACTGTGTCTCTCAGAACCCTATTTTTGTCATGCTATGTCTCCCAGGTCAAAATACTATGTCTCCCAGACTCCAATTCTGGCTGTACTATGTCTTCTGGACCCTGCTTTTTGTCATTCAATGTCTCTTGGACCCCAATTATTGCCATTATATGTCTCCCAGTCTTCTGCTATTGGCATACTATGTCACCCGTGCCCTTATTATTGGCATACTGTGTCTCCTGGGCCCCTATTTTGCCATTCTATGTCTCCCAGACTCTAATACTATGTTTCCCGGGTCAAAATTTTGGCTGTACTATGTCTCCCAGGCCCCATTACTGCCATATTATGTCTCCCAAACTCCAGTTCTGATTGTAGTATGTCTCCCAGGCCCCTATTATTGCCATGCTATGTCTCCCAGACTCCAGTACTATGTTTCCCAGCCCCTGACTCCTTGTGTGTACACATACGCCCCTCTCTCTCTTTCTCCCCCTCTGCAGAGAAGTCCAGGGCCCTGGAGGCAGGGCCCCCAGAGCACAAGGGGCAACAAGATACCTATCTGACCGCATCTCGGCCTATGAGCCCACGAGGACTTTGAGATCGTCCGGGGAGGCCCTGCTCTCGATCCCGCCTGCCTCACAGGCACGCCTGGCGGGGACGAGAGACAGGGCCTTCTCGGTGGTGGCTCCTCGGCTGTGGAACACCCTTCCCGTGGACATCAGACTGGCTCCTTCCCTGATGATATTCCGCAGGAAACTAAAGACTTGGCTGTTCAAGAAGGCGTTTGAACAAGAAGTGCAATAATTGGTAATGACGACAGGAATGGAACAATGGAAAATGATACTGGATTGTGGTTTAACGATGAGACGACGCGAATGGCTTTTTGTATTTTTGTATTACTGATATTGTTGATGGTTTTGATGACGATGTTTTTGGTTATTGCTAGATTGATTTTAGATTGTGTCTTGTAATTTGTACCCTGTCCTTTCTATGTTGTACACCGCTGTGAGTCGCCCCCGGGCTGAGAACAGCGGTATAGAAGCACAGTAAATAAATAAATAAATAAATAAATAAACAGTACGCCTTGAAGGTGCTGAGTGCCTTGATCGAGCCCCCACACCCTCCTGCCCCGTCTGCCTGCCTCTGCTCCAGGAGCCCAGCTGGGAGCCGCCCCCAACGCTCGCCAGCTCACCCAGTGGGAGCCCAAGTCCTCCACCAAGAAGTCCCTCCCAGGGGTCCAGAGCACCAAGGGAGACCTTTCTCTTGGGCTGCAGGGTGCCCCAGGGTCAGGCCGGGTGATGCCAGCTTCCTAGAGGCTGCCTTGAGGTCAGGCTCATGGCCTTTCCGGGCTCTTTATGGGCTTTTGGGTTACTTGAGGTCAGGCTAGAAATAATAAGCATTTCTATGGGCATTTGGTGTTGGAAATAGCAACCTTCTTTAAGCCTCCTACACTAGTGATTTGTTATGTATATAATTCAGATTGCTTACCTCTCCCTATGAACCATCGCAGAGATTAAGATCCTCCCGGGAGGCCCTGTTTTCCGCCCCGCCATTGTCACAGGCATGATTGGTGGGGACGAGGGACAGGGCCTTCTCGGTGATTGCCTCCCGGCTATGGAACTCACTTTCTGGTGAGATCAGGTCGGCCCTCTCCCTCCTGTCCTTTAGAAGGATGGTCAAAACTTGGCTGTGGGACCAAGCTTTCGGGACAGGGCAATAAAGCGGCAATAGGAAAGATGACCAGGCCAATTAGATTTGACATGGATGACTAGGACCGTTTCAAATGGTGTATTTTAATATTTTGATTTTTTTTTAATTTTTATGTACATAAGATTTTGTGTCCTGGCATTGAATGTTTGCCGTATATATGCTGTGCTCTGCCCTGAGTCCCCTTCGGGGTGAGAAGGACGGAATATAAATGTTTTAAATAAATAATAAATATTGAATATGTGTGTATTGGTTTTCCTTAACTCTATGTTGTGGGAGGGGCTGCAGACCATGCGATTAGATCTGGAATTGTTCAGGACTCAGACTCCCATTTTAGAAAGGCAGAAGCCATTAGACCTTCAATGTAGGAACAGTAGAAACAGAATGCTTTCGAGAACTGACTCCATTAGACTCTCAGAGCAAAGAGATGCTTTATGGACTGTTGATTATAAGAAAGATGCCCTGTGTTATCTGCACAGAGAAACTACTTCAAATACTATGTGTAACTGGATTGGTATGTAAAGTACCTCTATGCCGAATACATGAAGTTTGTGAGTAAACCAGCTATGCTACTTCTAATGAAGACTACTTCTTTTTGTCTCTTGAGAGCATGAATTAAATCCAAATATATTTTATGGGAAAGTAGATGCTTTTGGGCAACTGAAAAGAACACTTCTGAAACTGCTGTTTTCTGTGCATTTCTCATATCTTTGTCTCTAACAGTTCAAATAGATATCTAGGTATATCAGTTTAACAGCTGAGAAACCTAATTGCAGGAATACTGGTGGATATTTACCACTAAGGAGAAGGTTGACTCAAGTGAGTTTTAAACTCTTCTCAGGGAGATTCCTGATTTTCTGAAAATGGTGGTGACTGCCATTTCTCCAAAAGGTTATAGAGATTTCCATTTCCCAAAAAGTTATGTCATAATTTTTCCAAATTTTGGTTGGTTACTTGAAGTCAGACCAGAAATAATAGGCATCTCTATAGGCATTTGGGGGGTTCCTTGAGGTCAGGCTGGATGACCTTAGGCTTTGGGGTTACTTGAGGTCAGGCTAGATGACCTTTGGGTCACCCCTCTTGTGGTCTTCTTTCTTCTTTGGCGGCCTTAATTTGGTAGACATTGTTTTCCCGTTTAATCACCTCTTGTCAATGCTGACGCTGCTAGAAAAGCTTTTGAATAGAAAAGAGGACGAGAACCCCCCCTCCCCTGAAATAACATACAAATACTTTTAAAAAATAAAAAAATCATATATATTTCTTTGTTTTTCTCCTTCTCACAATTATACAAAGTGCAAAGAGTGTTTGCTGGCCGGTCTTTAACGAAGGAAGTAATTATTATTATTATAATTATTATTATCATAAATTATATTATTATTACTATTATTATTATAAAAGTTCCAGTTTTGCTTCAAATTGCACATTTTTTAAAAAAATGGAAGGAAGGTGGAAACAAGGAAGAAAGAGACAAAAAAAGAAGGAAGCAGAAAAATCAAGTAGGAAAAAATGATTGCCATATTATTATTATTATTATTGCTTTCTTTGCTGTGAAGGGGCCAGCTTTGGCCTCCTTCTATGTATCAATCCCCTTATTAATTATGTGAGGAAATTATGCAAATTTTGAACTGCTTTTTTTTTGGTCCATTCAGAGCTTCCATTTGCTTTATGATATTTGATTTGCAAATTCACAATGTATGCAAATTCCATGCAAATTTGGGCATTTTCTGCAAATTTTGATAATATATGCAAATCCACAAGGTATGCAAGTTCCATGCACTTGGGCATTTTATGCAGTATATGCCAATGTTATGCAGATTTTGCCCACATACCGATTTTATGCAAATTGAGCCAATATACACAAGTTCACATATGTCCATTCCATGTACTTGGATATTTTATGCACATTTTGCCCATGTATGCCAATTTTATGCAAATTTTGCCAATATACACAAATTTGCAACATACAAAAAATTCCATGCACTTGGGCTTTATGCAAAATTTGCCAATATATGCCGATTTTATGGAAAGTTTGCCCATGAATGCAAATGTTGCCAATACATGCAAAATGTATGCAAATTCCATGCATTAGGCATTAAAATTGTCCATATATGCAGATTTTATACAAATTTTACCAACATATGCTGATTCTATGCAAGTTTTGCCCATGTATACAAATTTTATACCAATTTTGCCAATATATGCAGATCCACAACATATGCAAATTCCATGCACTGGGGCATTTTATGCAAATTTTGCACATATATGCAGATTTTATACAATTTTTACCAATGTGTTTATTTTATACAAACTTTACCCATATATGCGAATTTTGTGCAAATTATGCCCATATATGCATTCTATACAAATTTTTCCCATACATGCAGATTTTATACAAATTTCATCAATATATGCAGATTGTGTGCAAATTTCGCTCATGTATGCAAATTTCACCCGTATATGCAAATTGTCCCGCTCCTCTAGGCGAAGAATCCATGGCAAAAAACGGCCACAGATAGAAGCAGGATGCCGTTGATATTGACCACTCGCTTCCAGAAGGGCACCTCACTGGTGTCGGTCATTTTCTGGCGTAGGGCCTCCTCCTCCGATTGGCTGAGTTTGGGGCCAGTTTGGTCCAGGCCACAGAACCAGTTCAGCGCCTTCCGGCCACAGGAGACCTCTTGTTCTGTCAAAACACAGCCCCACCCCCCCAAAAAAACCAATTAAATGCAATATATACAATGGATTGGATTGCAGTGCCCATCATCCTCTCCAGAAGTTATACATGTTATTATACATGTGTTATTATTATATATAAATTAAGCGTGATTATTATAATATTATTTCAATGCATCATCATTATATATTCTTATTCCTGTTAAAATTATTATTATTATTATTATTATTATATCTAAACATTATATGTTATTATAATTTAAATGTTTTATATCTTATTATCATTAACATTAAAATTTATCCTTATTATATTATTTAAACTTATGATTATTATTATATTATAATTTAAGTGTATTATATATGATAATGATTATCATTAAAATTTATTATTATTTTAAATTAATATTATTATAGCTGTGACTCCTATCCATCTATCCAGACAACCTTTAAAATTATTACAGCAGAGTCTCACTTATCCAACATAAATGGGCTGGCAGAATTTTGGATAAGCAAAAATGTTGGATAATAAGGAGGGATGAAGGAAAAGCCTATTAAACGTCAAATTACATTATGATTATGCACCAAAACATCATGTTTTACAACAAATTGACAGAAAAAGCAGTTCAATACATAGTAATGTTATCTAGTAATTACTGTTTTTATTAATTTAGCACCAAAACATCGCAATGTATTGAAACAGCTGTGGATCCAGGTGGGAGGGAGACCGCATTGGATAATACAGAATGCTGGATGTGCGAAGCCTCTACTGTATTATTATTATTATATCTGTGATTCCCATCCATTCCACCTTTACATTTATTATTATTATTATTATTATTATTATTATTATTATTGAATCAACTTCTTCTATCTGTGACCCCCATCCACCCATCCAGATAACCTTTAAAATTATTATTATTATTATTATTATTATTATTATTATTATTTTACATGTACTGTGCTGCCATTCCTTGACTCCATTATCTGGCCTAAAAAGATTCAAATCCATTTGGAGTTCCCAGATATTGTTGTTATTCTTCTGCCTCTATACTTGTATTGTGCTGCCTTTCCTCTAATCCATTTTCTGAATCCATTTGGAGTAGCCAGGTGTAATAATAATAATAATAATAATGATGATGATGATGATGATGATGCCTCTATACCTGCCTCAATAATAATAATAATGCTTTTGTTAGACAGACTGTGACTGTCATCATCCACCCACCCAGAAGCCCTTTAAAAGTAATATATCTGTTGTTCGGGCTGTGACTCTCCCATCATCCACCCACCCAGAAGACCTAAATTTCTTTTAAATGTAATATATCTATTGGACAGACTGCACCTCCCATCATCTACCCACCCAGAAGACCTTTAAATTTAATACATTATTATAATATATTTTTTTTTATTATTGGTTGGACTGTGACTCCCATTGTCAACTCATCACCACCAAACAATTCCCCCTTTCTAATTTGCACAAATTTGCAAAAATATAAGCAGTCAGTTTACGGGTTTGGTCCTGGTAGTCAGTCTCTTCCTTTGTGGCCACTTCCTCCTCGGCGTCCAGGTCGATCCGTTCTTCTGTCCGGTTGCGGAGGGACCAGCAGAGCCGATAAAGCTGGGATTGAGGAAATGGGGATTTAGGGTTCGGAAGTATGGGTTAGGATTCAGGTCAGAGACTCAGAGGTAGGGTTAGAGTTGGACTTAGCGTAGGAGTGAGACTTAGATAGACTCAGAGCAGTAGTTCTCAACCTGTGGTCCGTGGACCACCAGTGGTCCACAAGAACTAAAATATGGTCAACGGCCTCACCGTTACTACACTGTTGCAATGAGAGCAACTGTTTTTACGAAACTGTGTTATAGTACTGAGGCTTATTAAATATGCAGATGGCAACTACTGGATGGCATATGTTCTGTATCAGAAACTAGAGCTGATGTGGTCTATCCAACGCAATTTTCTGAATCAGCAACCCAAATAACCAAACTGAATCTAAAGTTGACCAAAAATTGATTAATAACCTTTTTGGTAGTAATGTTGGAGAGTGCTCCCTGGTCAAAAAAAGGTTAGGAACTGTTAAGTTAGAGGAGAGAGACAGAGTTAGAAAGTTCAAATTCGGATTAGAGTTAGGGTTAGAGGATAAGAATTAGGGTTAGCCTTAGACTTCAGGTTAGAGATAGAGTTAGGCAGAGTTAGAGAGCCTTGGAGTTAGCAATAGCATTTGTCTTAAGAGTTAGGGTTAGAAGGAGACTTAGAGAGCCTTGGAGTTTAGCAATAAGGTTTGTCTTAGCATTAGGGTTAGAAGTAGACTTAGACTAAGATAGGCTTGGAGCTAGCAATAGGATTTGTCTTAGAGGTCCAATCAGGGTTAGAGTCAGGGTTAGAAATGAGAGCCTTGGAGTTAGTAATAGTGTTAAATAGTTTGGGTTAGGGTTAGAGATAGAGAAATCACAATAGGGTTAGAGTGAGGGTTAGAGGATAAGAATTAGGGTTAGCCTCAGGATTAGAGATAGAGTTAGAGAGCATTGGAGTTAGCAATAGGGTTCATCTTAGACTTAGGGTTAGAGTTAGAAGTAGAAAGACTTAGAGGGCCTTGGAATTAGCAATAGAGTTGGTCTTCGAGGTCGAATCAGGGTTAGAGATAGGGCTAGATAGAGTTAGGCAGAGTTAGAGAGCCTTGGAGTTAGCAATAGGGTTTGTCTTAGAGTTAGAATGAGAAATAGACTTAGACTTAAAGAGGCTTGGAGTCAGCAATAGGGTTGGTCTTCGAGGTTAGAGTTAGGGTTAGAGATAGAGTGAGAGGGTTAGAATTACGGTCAGCCTTAGAGTTAGGCTCTTTTCTCAGGCCCTCCTCTCTCTCACCATCCTATTCTTCCTTCCTTCTCTCTTTCCTTCCTCCTTCCCTCCCTCTCTTCTTTACCTCCCTCTTTCTCCTTCCATTCTTCCTTCCCTTCCACCCTTTTGTCCTTCCTTCCCCCTTTCCTCTCTTCTTCCTTCTCTCCCCCTTTCTCCTTCCTTCCTTCTCTTTCCTCCCTCCCCTCCTTCTCTTCCACCCTTTCCTCTTTACCTCCCTCATTTTCCCTTCCTCCTTTCTTCCTTTCTACCCTTACATCCTTCCTTCCCTCTTTCCTCCCTCCTTCACACTCTCTTTCCCCTTCCTTCCTTCCTTCCTTCCTTCCTTCCTTCCTTCCTTCCTTCCTTCCTTCCTTCCTTCCTTCTCCTTCCTTTCCTTCTTTCCCTCCTTCAAGTTTGCAGATGACACCAAATTGGGAGGGAGGCTTAGTTGGGAGAAGGTAGAGAGGGAACATGAGAATCATGTTTCAATATTTAAAAGAGTGTCCCATTGAGGAGGAGGAGGGGGGGGGGATGCCTTTCTGCTGCTCTAGAGACCAGAGCACAAGGAAGCAATGGTTTCAAATGGCAGGGGGAAAGGTTTGACTAAAAGGATTAGGAAGAACTTCCTGAGAGTAAGAGCTGTTGGAGAATGGCATAGGCTGCCTGGGAGTGTGGTGGAGTCTCCTTCTCTGGAGGCTTTTCCACAGAGGCTATCTATTGGGAGTGCTTTGATTTTGCCTTCCTGCACGGTAGGGGGTTGGATTGGATGTCCCTTGGAGGTCTCTTCCAACTCTAGGATTCTATATCAGGAATAGATAATACGGCGTCTAATCGATAGACTTTTTCTCTCCTGTCCACCATCTCATCCTGACCAAGACCAACTCTTTTGGGATCCAAATGCTCCCTGTCTTTTCTTCACTTTCTGCCTCCAAAGAGAAGAGGAAGGTAGGGAAAGGGGAGGGAGGGGATTTGGCAAGAACCCCCTCCCTACCGGACCTGCCCACCTCACTCTGGCCTACCATGCAGCCCCCAAGTTAGAAGGTTTGTCCATGCCTGGGTTAGAGAGCCTAAGGGTTAGGGTTAGATAGAGTTAGAGTAAGATAATTTGGGTTACAGTTAGAATTATGATTAGAGTTAGAGCTAGAGTCAGAGTCAGAGAGTCAAAATTAGGGTTAGAGAGCCCCCCTTCCCCTCAAAGTCCGGTTTGGACTCACATGGACGTCGTCGATGGGCTTGGTGAGAAAGGAGACGACCAGGACGATGATTATGCAGATGGCAAAGAGGATCATGGCGAAGTAGAGGTAGTGGATCTTGCAGATGATGGCCGGACAGTTGCTGGGCTGCACACAGCTCCCTGTCCCGTAGGCAAACTCTGTGATCATCCGGGAAAGGCCTATCAGGAGGCCCAGCACTAGGCCGCAGAAGGCTCCCTGTGGACGGAGGGGAAAGGTCAGGGAGGGACCCGTCAATAACGGTTGAGAAGGAGTCCATCAGAGGAAGGAGAGATCATTAGAAACAAAATGTTTGAGAAGTAGTTGATTGGAGAGATCAACAGAACTCAATCATGTTTGAGATCAATAGGAACCAATAGATTAGAGGACAATATCAATAGAAACCAATAAATTAAATTGGAGAGATCAACAGTAATAAGTAATGTTCGAGAAGGAGTCAATTGGAGGGAGAGATCAATAGGAATTAATAGTGTCCGAGAAGAATCAATAGAAACCAACAATGTTCAAGAAAGAGTTAATTGGAGAATGATATTAATAGATTGGAGGACAAGATCAATAGAAACCAAGAATTTTTGAGTAGAAGTAGATTTGAGAAATCAACAGAACTCAATCATCTTTGAGAAAGGGGATCAATAGGAACTTATAGATTGGAGAAACCAAGAATGGTCAAGAAGAAGTAGATTGGCGAGATCAATAGAACTCAATCATGTTTGAGAAGGAGATCAATAGGAACCAATAAAGGATGAGATCAATAGAAACCAAGAATGTTTGAGAAGAAGTAGATTGGACAGATCAATAGTAATAAGTAATGTTTGAAAAGAAGTCTTGTGGAAGGACAAGATCAATAAAAACCCATCATGTTTGAGAAGGAGTTGATCAGAGAATGATACCAATAGGAACCAATTGAGGATGAGATCAATAGAAGCTAATAATGTTTGAGAAGGAGCCGATTGGAGAAAGATGAGATCAATGGAAAACAATTGTGTTTTGGAAGGAGTCAATGAATTGATACCAATAGATCAGAGGATGAGATCAATGGAAACGAATAAATGTTTGGGAAGGAGTTGATCAGAGGAAGAGAAGATCAATGGAAAGCTATGTTTGAGAAGGAGTCAATTGGAGAATGAGATCATTGGAAACCGAGAGATTGCAGCATGAGATCACTAGAAACCAATAGTTTGGAACATGACAACATTACAGACCAATGATCCCTCTGTCCAATCTATTCCTCCTATCTAGCGATTTCTGTTGATCTCTCCAATCTATTTTTCCTTTCCTCTTGATCTCTCCCTCCTATCTATTGGTTTCTATTGATCTTGTCCTCCGATCAACTCGTTAAATATTATTGCTTTCCATTGATTTGGTCATTCCTTCCTATGATCCTTTCGTATTGATCTCTCCCTCCAATCAACTCTTTTCCTATTGATCTCTCCCTCTAACGACTCCTTTCCGATTGCTCTCCCTCTGATTGACTTCTTTCCTATCCATCTTTCCCTCCGATCAACTCCTTTCCTAACGATCTCTCTCACCGACCAACTCTTTCTTTCCTATCCATCTCTCCCTCCGATCAACCCATTTCCTCTCAATCTCTCCCTCCAATCAACTCCTTCATTCATCTCGATCTCTCCCTCCGATCGACTCCTTCTTTCCTATCCATCTCTCCCTCCGATCAACTCATTTCCTCTCGATCTCTTCCTCCGATTGACTCCTTCATTCCTCTTGATCTCTCCCTGAATCGATTCCTTTTTTCCTATCTATCTCTCCCTTTGATCAACTTCTTTCCTCTCAACCTCTCCCTCCAATCGACTTTTCATATTGATCTCTCATTCTAAACAACTCTTTCTGTTCTATCAAGCTCTCTCTCTGATTGACTCCTTTCCTATACATCTCTCCATTTGGTCGACTCCTTTCCTATCAATCTCTCCTTCCAATCGACTCCTTTCTTATCAATTTCTCCCTCTAATTGACTCATTTCCTATAAATCTCTCCTACTCGACTCCTTCTTTCCTATGTATCTCTCCCTCTGTTCAACTCCTTCCTATCTAGCTCTCCCTCCGATCAACTCCTTTCCTATCGATTTCTCCCTCTGATCGACCCTTTTCATACTGATCTCTCTTTCCGACCGATCAGCTCCTTATCAATTTGGGTCTATCCCTCACCGTCTCATTGACCCTCTTGCAAAAGATGGCCAGAAAGAAGACAGCTGCAATTGGAGGCCCCAAGTAGCTGGTGATGGACTGGATGTAGTCGAAGAGCTGCCCACTTTGGGCCTCCTGGACGACCGGGACCCAGAGGATGCTCAGGGCGATCAGGATCACAATGAAGACCCTGAAAATGGGAGAAATAGGGGGTGGGTTTATGGGATTTGTAGCAAGGCAACGTGATGGTGGTGACGGGGTCCCTTCTCTTGTTGCACCTTCCAACAATCATGAGCTCCCTCTCCTTGGCTCTGGTTCGGATCTTGGTGTAGATGTCCATCGTGAAGAGAGTGCTGGCACTGTTGAAGATGGAGGTCAAGGAGGACATCAGGGAGGCCAGCATCACCGACAGCATCAGACCTCGCAGACCTGTCATTCAAAGATTAAATTACCTCAGTAAATAATAATAATTTTAAAATTTAATAACAATAACATGATCATAATTAACATGATACTAATTAGTAATATAATGTAATATAATAAGTAATAAAATGAATGACAGTCATAGATACAATTAGTTATAAAATTTAATAATAACAACAACATTGTAATAATGGTGATAATAACACTGTTCTACAAATTTTCAGTTTTTCTCAGTTGCGGAAACGAAATGTGCCGTTTCTTAATAAATTCAACATGCTGAATTCAAATATAATAATTAAATGTGTTAATTGACTCTGGTTTTTATGCAACAGCTATTTCAATTTTCTCCACAATAGGTAATTCGTTAATATTATGATAATGCGCCTAACCTTACTGCATGTATATAAACCGTGAATATTTACTAAATTTTAGTCAAATTATATTGCCAATAGTTTATACATGAGAAATATTTATTTAATTAGTCTATTGTTTATGTTTGTGCAGCAAGAAACTATATTAGTAGGCCTAATGCAGTTGAAAAGTCTGAAAGTTTAAATGTCGCTTTAATCGTGAATTTAGTTTATATCCTGTTTGCTTCTCTTGACTTTTCTTTTGTATTCAAGGAAAGGATTGTCTCTTACAATGCTCCAGCAGTAGTCTGACAGCATTGACGGAGTCCATTTGCCTTGATATCTTTTTTCCATAGTGCTTTATTTACACACGTGCGAGGCATAACTACAGTAAAAAGAACAATGTAAAACGATGTTTAACGATACTGTCTCAGTCTTCAACTGACTGACCCTCACCGTTCAAAAGTCTGGCCTTATATAGGGCTTTCTGGCTTTTGCACACGGCACTAATACTGCGTCATCAAACTTTCTAGAGTATTCTAGAATCTTCCATAGTGTAAGTCGCAACATGCATTTTTTCAACCATACGTGATCACGTGATTGCTTATATCATAAAAACTAGAGCCAATATACATTTTTAAATGTCATTTCGTTTTCAGCACCCCAAAATCATAAAAGAACAGCTATTTTCAGGCCCGCAACTTTTTCTCCGTTGAACAGTGTAATTAACCATAAAATATAAGAATAATATGGAGGAGGAAGAAGTAATCATAACAATAATAAACTAAATGATGAAAGGTAATAATAAAGTAAGTATAAAAAATATAATCAAGATGTAAGTAACACAATTATAAAATATAATATAAATTATAAAATAAATTATAAAATAATAAATAGCAGTAAAATCAATTACAAAAATATTATAAAATATACATAATAATGAAATCATTGTAAAATATAAGTGTAGTATAGTAATAAATAAATGGTTGGGGCTCAACAGCAAGGTGCTGGGGATTTCTCAGAGGACGAAGGGGATGACAGGTTTCCCACTGAGGAGTCTTGTGTGGGATCAGGGTGAATCGCAGGCCTTAGATCAGAGAGAAGTGCCGGCAGTTGCAGATGAGACAGAGGATGTTTGGAATTCCAGTGGGTTTATGCCTATGATCATAACTTACTGGATTCCACGTACCTCGCTATTTTGGACTACTGAACTTTGTATATATACTTTTTAATATATATTCCTCTCTATCTCCCCGAGGGGATTCAGGACGGATTACAGAACACATATATGGCAAACATTCAATGCTGTTATACAGTTTACAAGGGCAGACAATACATAATACAGAGGTAAAGGCTTTCCCCATCTTTTTCTATTTCCGGCATCTGGAGGCTTTACTCAACTCTGGCCACAAGGGAGGGGGGTTGCTGTCACTCCATCTTCCATGCCAAGGAGCTTTGTCATCCATAGACATCCTCCCGATCAAATTGCTGGATTGTCCTTATGGGCACCTTTTATAATCTCTCCGTTTAAAGCGGTACCAATTTATCTACCCACATTTGTGTTTTCAATCTGCTAGGTGGGCAGAAGCTGGGCTGGTGGTGTGAACTCGCCCCAACCCTGGCTTGAACTGCCAACCTTTCAATTGGCAAGATTTTCTACAGCTGGCGGTTTAAGCCACTGTGCTAAAGCTCGGCCCTATATATATATGGACTACTGCTATATCGTAGCACCTTTTCTTCTTCAAGTTCTCTGAATGTACACTTGTGGAGAATACTGTGTCTGCGCAGGCTCTTACGGAAGCTTCCCAAGCTGTTTTTGGTGGTAGCCCTGCCAATTCCACCTGTGGGCATAAAAGGCGACCCAGTTCCTCACTCCCCAGTTCTTTTTCTTCTGCCGCAACAGCTCTTTGGAACTCCTCTCACCATGTCGACACAAGGTTCAAGAGATATATCCAGTGCACATCAAAGCTACTGGACTCCGATGGCCACACAAAGTGCCTTCTCTGCCTGGGAGAGGCACATGCCATGAGCTCTTGCCCTCACTGCCAAGCTTTTACAGTGCAGGCAAGAAAAAAAATTGAGTCTCTTGCCTTTGGGCAATGATGTACCAGCAGGCCTTAGCCCCCTTCATGGCAACACAGCCGTTGACTTCGGGCTCGACAAAAGCATCGACAAAGGCTTCCACATCGGCCCTGCCAAAAGCTCCATTGAAGGCTTCCATGATGTCGAAGGCGTCAAAGACCTCAAAGGTTTCTAAGACTTCCCAAGGCCATGAAGCCTTCACCCTGACCTTCATTGTCATTGAGTTTGATAACATCAGCAAGGTCTTCTCAATTGATCATGGCGACGCCACCAACAGCCGCTTCTGTGATGATGGCCTTCTAGAGGGCCCAAGAGGAAATGAAGAGGGCACAGACAGAGGCATCGATCCAGCCCCTCCTATCCCCAATCTCTCCAACACTGGGAAAAATCTTTGAATCTCTGTACAAGGTACAGAAGCAAGGCATCTGAAAGAGAAAGAGGCCTGATCCATCGCCACCGCTGATACCAGCAAAGCAACCACCATCGACCTCCTCCAAAGCCTCTTCAAGGCCAATCCTCGCTGATTCAGCCAGTGCAAGGCCCAGCAGTGCAAGGCCCACCAAGTGGAAGGTGGTCCCGGTCGGGGTTGGCTTGACACGCCTTCCTCTTGGCATGTTTCTCTCTTTTGCCGTCCATTCATGCCTCTTCAAATTCTACAGCACTGCTGGTCACAGCTGACCTCCATCTAGAGCACTCAGGGACCAGGGCTTCCCAGTTCTATGCCACAGTTTTTAAGATTGGCTTTGAGCCCATCTTTAAATCTCTTTTCCTGTCCTCCAACATTCAGATGGTTTATAGACCACTTTGACCCTCTCCACCACCACAATTCCCACTTCCTCATGGTACCGAGACCAGTGATCCACCACCTGTCCTGGTGGAGCAGCCTGACCAATGTCTGCTGCGGAGTCCCCTTCCACTCTCCACACCCAATGGAGGAGATCAGAACAGGTTTCACTACGAAAACCTCACCACTCAGGACAGGAGCCCCCAGTGGTGCAGTGGGTTAAACCCCTGTGCTGGCAGGACTGAAGACCGACAGGTCACAGGTTTGAATCCAGGGAGAGCGCAGATGAGCTCCCTCTATCAGCTCCAGCTCCTCATGCGGGGACATGAGAGAAGCCTCCCAAAAGGATGATAAAACATCAAAACATCTGGGCGTCCCCTGGCAACGTCCTTGTAGACAGCCAATTCTCTCACACCAGAAGCGACTTGCAGTTTCTCAAGTCACTCCTGACACGACAAAAAACAACAACCAAAAAACTCAGGACCACTGGTCCTCTCAAGAAAGGACACACCACATTAACTATCTCAAGCTCCTGGCCATCTTCAAAGACCTAAGAGCAGTTGCCTACCTCATCTTCAGCAAGGTAGTACAAATACAGACAGGCAATACCATGTTCATGTATTACCTCAACAAACAGGGGGTCACCAGATCCAGAGAACTCTTGAGCTTAACCATGGACATTTGGGAATGGTGCATCTGATGCAAAGTCTTGATCTCAGAGATACATGACCCAGGAAAGGACAATGACTTTGCAGAGCATCTCAGCAGATCAAAGCACACCACCCACGAGTGGGTGCTGAACCCAAAGCAGCTCCACGAGGTCTTTGACAAGTGGAGCTGGCCAACCATTGACCTCTTTGCCTCCCTAACAAATGCCCAGCTGCCCCTTTTCGGATCCTGCTACAACCCGAAGGCAGAGGCAGCAAATCTAGGGGATGCCTTTCTCCTCAACTGGTCATAAGAATTACTTAACATGTTCCTGCCGATCTCGTTAATCCTGAGGGTCCTTGAACACATCATAGTATCCAGAACCAAGTGCATACTCATAACACCGGTGTGGCTGAGACAAATGTGGCTCCCAATGCTTCTTGATATCTCCAAGGGCAGATATCACGAATTCAACCCACTTCCACACATGCTCTCCAGAGAACAAAGGAAGATACTGCACCCGGATGTGCAGTCCCTCCACCACTCAGCCTGGAGAATCCAGTTCTAACACACTGGAGCGCAGGCCATCCTGGAGGCAGCCGACAACTGAACACCCCAGAACTGCAGACTATCTTGGAGGCAGCCCACAAGCCAGCAACTGTAAAGTCATACACCTACAAAATCTCTCAGTACTGACAGTTCTTTCGGGACTAAGACTTCCACCTGAGTCAGCCATGGTCACCCATGTTCCCAAATTCCTGCTCACCTTAGTTAACTGCAACCTGTCTCTCTCCTCCATAAAGGCTTACCTAGCTGCCATTTCATGGATACAGCAGAACGAGGGCCACAATTCCCTCTTCGTCAACCACCTCATAAAGACCCCTAAAGGTTACAACAACCTCCAGACATCCACCTGCTCGCCAACCCTGGGATGGAGCATGGAGCTCATCCTTTCACAGCTCCAAGGCTGACCATTCAAATCTATGGTAACAGCAGATCTTCGCCTGGTGTCCTGGAAGGTCACCTTCCTTATAGCCATCACGTTGGCTCGCCGACCTTCGGAACTAGCAGCACTTTGTGTGGACAAACCCTACCTAGTTTTCCACACCAACCGAGCAGTGCTCCATATCGACAACCTTCCTACTGAAGGTAGTCTCAGCTTTTCACACTAACCAAGACATCATGTTGCCAGCCTTTTTTCAGTCCCTGTCATCCCTGGTATTTATTTATCATGTCAGGAGCGAACCAAAACAGTTGTATTGCATTTTAAAAAAACCAGACAAACAAACAAAACACAAAATTTGCAGACTTGGTATTCTATTAAATGTCCTTTGACCAGTAGCTGGCCACTTGGAGTGCCTCTGGTGTTGCTGCAAGAAGGTCCTCCACTGTGCATGTGGCGGGGCTCAGGTTGCATTGCAGCAGGTGGTCAGTGGTTTGCTCTTTTCCACACTCGCATGTTGTGGATTCCACTTTGTAGCCCCATTTCTTAAGGTTGGCTCTGCATCTCGTGGTGCCAGAGCGCAGTCTGTTCAGCACCTTCCAAGTTGCCCAGTCTTCTGTGTGCCCAGGAGGGAGTCTCTCATTTGGTATCAGCCAATGATTGAGGTTCTGGGTTTGAGCTTGCCACTTTTGGACTCTTGCTTGCTGAGGTGTTCCAGCCAGTGTCTCTGTAGATCTTAGAAAACTATTTCTTGATTTAAGTCGTTGGCGTGCTGACTGATACCCAAACAGAGGATTTCAGGTCGGAGATTTCACTGCCTTGGTCCATTCACTATTGGCTGCTACTTCCCGGCGGATGTCAGGTGGTGCAATACCGGCTAGACAGTGTAATTTCTCCAGTGGTGTAGGGCGCAGACAACCCGTGATAATGTGGCATGTCTCATTAAGAGCCACATCTACTGTTTTAGTGTGGTGAGATGTGTTCCACACTGGGCATGCATACTCAGCAGCAGAGTACCATAGCGCAAGGGCAGATGTCTTCACTGTATCTGGTTGTGATCCCCAGGTTGTGCCAGTCAGTTTTTGTATATTATTTCTAGTGCCCACTTTTTGCTTGATATTCAGGCAGTGCTTCTTGTAGGTAAGAGCACGGTCCAGAGTAACTCCCAGGTATTTGGGTGTGCTGCAATGCTCCAGGGGTATTGCTTCTCAGGTAATCCCCAGAGGTCGGGATGCTTGTCTGTTCTTAAGATGAAAAGCACATGTCTGTGTTTTAGATGGGTTAGGAATCCCTGGTAGAACAGCGTTTACACCTGCTGGACGCCAGGCAAGCACTCCTCTTCTACAAACAAAGCTGAATCCATCAGGACATCACCCAGACTGTTCATATCCTATCCTATGACGACAACAGGCTAGGGCACCTGGTCTCATCATAACGGCTTTCCCTCTGGATTGCCTGCACCATTGAACTCTATTATCAACCTGCTCATCGACCTCTACGACCATCTCTCCACTTGCGAGCAACAAGAGTCCTCGCACGGCCTTCCTACGGTGGATCCCACTGGACGCCATTTGCAAGGCAGCCATTTGGACAAACTCTATGACATTTGTATCACACTATAGGCTGGATGCAAGATCCCAGCTATGGGACAATTATGACATTCTGCCAAGGTCTTTTTATGCTAAAACATTAGAGAAAGACTTTGTCTCTCCCATTCTCAGGTATCCTTTGACTGATGTGCCTTGTGTTCTGTCATTGGACTCTGTTTTTTCTCCGCATTTACACATGCTTTGAATATTACTGAAGTTTACACTTCATTTGGGCCTAAGGCTTAGCCCTGCGTGGCTCATGTTACAAAATTAACCGCTCTCAGGTCGACAATGCAGCCCTCTGTAGCTTGGTTTTCGAAGTATTGAATGTACCATTTAACCCAAGGTTAAGGACAACTTGAAGTTACCTTTGCATACTCTATGACGACATTGTAATGCGTCAATAGTTTTTCTTGCACTAATAGCAAAGTATAAACGTAAAATTGCAGTTCATACTACGTCCTATTGCTGATAAGCAATAAGCAGTTTTCTGTTGTTTATCGTATACTGAGCAATTGATTTACTCATGATTGTAAGACTGTCGTCACACAACAGTCGAGATGTGCACAGCCTCCAGATGCCAGAGATGAAAAAGAGGAAAGCCTTTGCCTTTGCCTATGTAATGTCTGTCTTTGTTAATTGTATAATGGCATTGAATGTTTGCCATATATGTATTCTGTAATCCACCCTGAGTCCCCTCAGGGAGATAGAACAGAATATAAATAAAGTCTATTATTATTATTATTATTATTATTATTATTTCCCTTTTGTACATGCTTTTGTAAATAAGCTACTGGAGTCTGGTATGGTGCTGGGTGAAAAGGCATTCCAAGACTAGAGTGCAATGTAAATGAAATAACTACCAATAAAATTCATTGTAAAATATAATAATATAATAATAAAATGATTTATTAAAATGGATTGATTCACCTTTCCCACTTTGGCCCCTCCCTTCCCTTCCCTTCCCTTCCCTTCCCTTCCCTTCCCTTCCCTTCCCTTCCCTTCCCTTCCCTTCCCTTCCCTTCCCTTCCCTTCCCTTCCCTTCCCTTCCCTTCCCTTCCCTTCCCTTCCTGGCTCCCCGACCTCAAAGCGGCCATGTTTTCCCCTCCTTCTCAAGATGGCTGCCTCCTCACCGTTGGGCATGAGTCGGATCACCAAAAAGGGGTAAGCGACGTTGGAGCAGCCCACCCTTGTCTGACAGGTTTGGTAGCAGAAATCGGGGTCAACGCAGGCCACTTCATCTGTGGGAGAGACATAGAGATATAGATTGTAGGCTTGTGCAAAATTTTTGGAAGTTAAAATTCGTACTTACAAGACAATATCCAACACATGTGCCAAAAACTTAAGAATCAAAACTCACTGAAACCCGCCTGAAGAGCAGGAAGTGAAAGGGGAAGCCTTTGCCTTTGTCTATGTATTTGTGGGATTTTATTGATTGTTGTTTTATCATGGTTTTATCTACTTTGTTCTCCTGATTGAAGGATTTTAATGTTTGCATTCGGTTTGTAAGCCACCTTGGGTCTGCATTGTGGAGAAAGGCAGAATAGAATTATCCTAAATAAATAAATAAATAAATAAATAAATAAGCATTGACTTCTGATGGACAACATTGACTTCTTATGGCCAACACTGACTTCCTATGGCCATTTGCTTACTAAGATGAACAATGATTTCTGATGTCCAACATTGACTTACTAAGATGAACGTTGACTTCCAATTGCCAATGTTGACTTTCGATGGTCAATGTTGACTTATTAAGATTTACGTTGACTTTTGATGACCAACACTGACTTACTATGATGAATGTTGACATCTGATTGCCAACATTGACTTGCTAAGATGAATGTTGACTTCCAATGGCTAATGTTGACTTCCGATGGCCAATGTTGATTTACTAAGATGAACGTTGACTTCTGATGGCCAACATTGACTTACTAAGATGAACATTGACTTCTGATCTCCAACATTGAGTTCCTATGGCCAACATTGACTTACTAAGATGAACGTTGACTTCCAATGGCCAACATTGATTTCTGATGGCCAATGTTGATTTACTAAGATGAACGTTGACTTCTGATGGCCAACATTGACTTACTAAGATGAACGTTGACTTCTGATCTCCAACATTGAGTTCCTATGGCCAACATTGACTTACTAAGATGAACATTGGCTTCCAATGGCCAACATTGATTTCTGATGGCCAGTGTTGATTTACTAAGATTTTATTTTTGTCATGTCAGGAGTGACTCCTGGTGTGAGAGAATTGGCCATCTGCAAGGATGTTGCCCAGGGGATGCCTGGATGATTTGATGTTTTTATCATCCTTGTGGGAGGCTTCTCTCATGTCCCCGCATGAGGAGCTGGAGCTGATAGAGGGAGCTCATCCGCCTCCCCCCGGATTCGAACCTGCGACCTGTCGGTCTTCAGTCCTGCCGGCACAGGGGTTTAACCCACTGCGCCACCGGGGGCTCAATATTTACTAAGATGAACGTTGACTTCTGATGGCCAACATTGACTTCCTTTGGCCAATGTGTTTGTGTTTCATTGTGTGAAATGCAACGTGTGTTTCAAAGGCACTGAATGTCTGCCTGTTTCTGTATATATGCTGGAATCCATTCTAAGTCTCCTTGGGGAGATAGGGCGGAATACAAATAAATTGTATTATTATTATTATTATTATTATTATTATTATTATTATTATCCAAGACATTTTTGTTTGCATTTTGCTGCCATTCCTCTTTAATTGAATGGCCTCTTGCCATGTGGAGAGGAAAGCAGCAGGGCAGGATGAACTGAGTGAGCTGGGAAAGAAACTGAGAAAGGACAAAATTCTGGGAAATATAGTTTGGGAAGGTGAGAAGCCCTCTGGCAGCGAATGTAAAAGATCCTTCCCTGAACTACGTTTCCCAGAATTCTGCTCAGTATGACAAAGCCCCAATCAGGAGAGGGGAAAGATTTGTCTCTCTTCGCAGCAGCTAGATTTCCAATAAATTGTTGAATCCACTAAGAACAGGACTAACTATACTTCTAGTAAGTAAATCTCTGTGCTGGGCTAGGAAGATATCCCTAAACTGACATTTTATTGGTTAACACGAGAGAGAGACATTCAATGAGATAGCTGTTGTGGCTTTTAAAAACACTTTAAAAATTCCCTAAAATCAGTAGATGTGCGAATCTTTCTGAAACTTGGGGGGCATGATCCCCTGTTATCTATTGTATACAAAATTCAAGGAGATTGCTCTTGTAGTTTTGATTTTAAAATGTTGTTTATAAAAACTTTGAAAATTCCCCCCAAATCCGTGGATAAAGAGAAACATTCTGAAACTTTACAAGCTCACAGTGGTCAAGGTGTTCTACCATTGTAGCAAGTTGCAACACAATAGCTATAACAATAAGGGAGAAAGGGGCCCTGGAAATTTCCTCATGTGCAATCACTAATGAAATGAAATGCCAGCACCCCCCCAGTTTTGTATTGACGTTTGAAACATTTTTTAATTGATCGCACATGCCTAAATAGTCCCAAGTGTGAATCTCTATCATTATTATTATCATCCTTCCCCTTTAACAACCCAGTCATAAGAACCCATTCATTCATACAGATATAGACACATACATATGAGTCCTGGGTGCAAATAATATTATTAATAATATTATTAATAATAAAATAATTATATATATATATATATATATATATATATATAATTCTTTTATTATTAATATTAATAATAAAATAATAATTACACACACACACACACACACACATATATAAGTGTGATGCCTGTCTTACATTATTATTACCCGTTCATAAGAACCCATTCATTCATACAGATATAGATACATACATATGAGTCCTGGGTGTGAATAATATTATTAATAATATTAATAATTATAGAATATATATATATATAATTAAATTAATAATAAAAGAATAATTATATGTATGTGTGTGTGTGTGTGTGTGTGTATATATATATATATGTGTGTGTGTGTGTGTGTGTGTGTGTGTGTGATGCCTGTCTTACATTATTATTAGCTTTTAAGAGTCCATGCTTTAATAAGAACCTATGTATAAGAGCCATCCATTCAATATCCTTCCCCTTTAAGAGTCCATCTATTCATAAGATCACTCCATTCATAGAGCCATCCATTCCTTCTATTTCCCCTTTAAGAGCCCATTCACTCTTAAATGCTCTTGATCTCACCACTACTGCAAATGCGGTTGATGGGGACAAGAGACAGGGCCTTCTCAGCAGTGCCCCCCCCACCCCCACCCCCCACCTATAGAACACCCTCCCTAGAGATATCAGATTGGCCACCTCCCTCTTGTCTTTTAGAAGGAAAATCAAGACCTGGTTATGGGACCAAGTGTTTGATCAGTGGGCAGAAAGTGGAAGAAGATCACACAACTTATGGCAATGAATTGACCCGGACCGGTTTTTGAATTTCGATTTTAATGGATGTGTCTTAATTAATTGTTTTAATTGTTGTTTCAACATGTTTAATATTTGATTGTACTGTGGTTGTTTTTATGATGCTTTTGTTAGGCCGCCCTGAGTCCCACTTCGGGGGTAGAAGGGCAGGGTATAAATATAGGAAAAAAATAGAAAAAAATTCATCCGCATCTACATACATGAGTACTGAGTTTGAATCTCTCTCATTATGACCCTCCTCCTTCCCCATCCATAGATCTGTCTATTCATTCTCCTTCCCCTTTAAGTGCCTATTCATTCGTTCATTCATTCATTCATTCATTCATTCATCAGGTCCACCCATTTCTTCACCTTCCCCTTTGAGAACCCATTCATACAAATGTCCTGAGTGTGAATCTCCCTCATTATTATCCTCCTTCCCCTTGAAGAGCCCATTCATAAGAACCCATTCATTCATTCTTCCCTTTGAAGAGTCCCTTCACTCACATCTATCTACATACATGACTCCTGAGTGTGAATCTCTCAGATTCTTATCATAATCCATTCACAAGAACCAGTCCATTCATAAGATCAGTCTATTCATCTCTGAGTGACCTGTATAGAGGATGCGGCTGATCATCCCCGGCATCACCATCAGAAACATGGGCAGCAGCTTCATGTATCCGCACAGGATGCAGCCCGCTTTGACATGAGACATGTTCTTGGCAGACAGGCACCGCTGCACAATTACCTGCAGCAAATAATATATATAATTATAATATGGTAAGATATTATAATAATACAATTAATAATATAACATACAATTATTATATTTATATTGTACTTCAGTATTATTATTGCATTACAATAAAACTAATGGTAATATAACAATATAATATAATATATTACAATATATAATATATTATATTACATTATATAAATATCATATGATTCTCTAGTATTATTCATATTATTATAATATACGATTATTATATTAGTATTATACTCTAATATTATTTGTATATAAATAATTATCATATAAATCCTTCTAATTACAATATAAATAATTATAAAAACGACTACTACTAATATAGATTAATATCATATGTATATATTATAATACAATGACACTAACATAACATAGTATTTATAATATAGTATAACAGAATAATAATATATAATAGAATAATATAATATAGTATACTAATAATATATAATACTATATAATAATATAAATAATAGAATAATATTATAGTATAATAATGAAGATAATATAATGCTATATAATAATACTCTATAATAATAATATATAATGATGTATAATAGAATAATTTAATACTATATAATAATATATAATATGCAGTAATAATATAAATAATAATATAATTTATAATACTATATAATATAAATAATATAGTATAGTATATCATTATTACATTATTATTTAGTGTTACTATATATTATATTATTATATAGTATATATACTATATTATATAGTAATGTTATAATATAGTATATTATTATATTATATTATAAAATATACTCATATAAATAATATGATTGTATTATATATATATATTCTATGTAATAACATAAATAATACTATAATTTTATAATAATACCATTTAAAATATATAAATAATAATATAATTTTATAATGATATTATATAATAATGTAAATAATAGTAATAACACCATATAATAATATAATTAATAATAGAATACATAATAATAATGATGACCTGGTCTGTGCACCAGTACCAAATAGCCAGGATGCTGAGTCCAAAGATGAGTCCTGGCCAAGGCAGGTCTCCATTAATGGGGTCCCGGAAAATGCTGAAGGCATCCGGACGCGGTGTGTAGCACTTTTCGGAAATATTGGCGGTGGCTTGCGTGATCGTCGGAATGGCCTTCATGTACTTCTCCATGAACTGATCATAGCCCCCCACTTCATTGAAGGCTGCATTAAGAGGTGCATGAAACAAACTCAGTGAGAAAGTGGTCTCTGTATCGAGGGAGCAGTGATTCTGCAGTAGAATCTATTCATTATTATGATTATGATTATATTATAATATTATTGTTGCTATATTATTATTATTATTATAGATTATTATGATAGGAAGCAGCATTGAGAAGAGCGTGAAATAAACTCATTGAGAAAGCGGCCTCCATGTCGAGGAAGCGGTGACTCCGCAGTTGGATCTATTCATTCATCATTCTTCTTCTTCTTCTTATTATTAGTGAGTATTATGATAGAAAGCTGTATCGAGAGGAGCATGAAACAAACCCAATGAGGAAGTGGCCTCCGTGTCTAGGGAGTGGTGGCCCCGTTATTATTATTATTATTATTATTATTATTATTATTATTATTATTATTATTCTAAAACTATTATTTATATTTTATATATTATATATCTTGTTGTTCAGTCGTCTCCGACTCTTCGTGACCTCATGGACCAGCCCACGCCAGAGCTCCCTGTCGGCCGTCACCACCCCCAGCTCCTTCAAGGTCAGTCCAGTCACTTCAAGGATGCCATCCATCTTATATTATATATAATATTTTATATATATATATATATATATATATATATATATATATATATATGTATAAAATATATAATGGATTATTATAAATTATTATAATTATAAATAGTATAAAGTAAAATATGATAACAATATATAATATCATAATAATAAGTATAAAATATAATAATATATAATGATAATATTACTATGATTATATTATATATTATTATAATTTAATAATGATAATGAGGAAATAATATACAACTTAAGAGTATAAAGTAAAATATACAATAATAAATAATAATAAATATAAAATATAATAATATGTAATTTACAATCATATAGTGAAGATAATAATTGTATAAAATAGTAATGAAAAAATATGCAATATTATATAGTATAATATATCGGTCCTCTTGGGGAGAGAGGGCGGTCTATACATAAAATATTTATTATTATTGTTGTTGTTGTTGTTTTTTATATGATTATTTTTATATAATTATAATCATTATATAATTAAAATAATTCTCTTGAAATAGTCAGAGATATTCCTGTAGCTGGTTTCGTGATTCTTTGTTTAGGTCTGGTAGGTAGCTTGTACAACAGCCTCTAGGGATTGAGAGCCTTGAAGATCTTTTCACAGCTTCTACAAAAAGATCATAGCCTTCTATAGATGGTTCGATAACAGAAATAGCTGCTTCCAAGTTCTCTGTAAACTTTATTGAAATTATATCTTCTTCGGAAAGGGACATTTTGTGGTCTTACAGTTGCATATGTTTGACAGCATATTGGTCTGTGCTGAGTATTAGGTATTGGGTTTAATACTCTTTTAATGCAATGGTGGACTATGCTGTCACTTACAAAAGTCAGATCAGGGTTATAACCATGCTTCCATCGGCCACTATTGAATGATGGTGGTAATTTACTGTCATAGAGGAGGCTCCTTTTACTATTGTCAGCCCACATTAGAACTGCAATCTAAAATTGCAACAGCAAAAACAGCAGAGAGAAAAACAGGCAGCGACATCTAATCACCTTTCAAGAAGAGTTTGCTCCAGGCACAGTCAGCCCATTGTATGCTAATCAAGGTGGTCAGTTGAAAGATTCACACCTAGCCCAACTTACAAAAGCCCTTTGTCTCACCTGGTCATTCCACAGATATATAAACCCCTTTTTTCCCAGTTCCAGCAGACCTCATCTCTGAGGATGCTTGCCATAGATGCAGGCGAAACGTCAGGAGAAATGCCTCTAGAACATGGCCATATAGCCCGAAAAAACCCACAAGAACTGATTCCAGCCATGAAAGCCTTCGACAATAAAAAGAAATACTGTTTACCCACAAGCATAAAGAAATTATATATATTAGAAACCAACACTTTCTCATTACTTTATTTTCCAGATCACCAGACTGGGCCACAGCAATGAGTGGCAGGGGACAGCTAGTAAAGTATATGAGAGGATACTACTAAATTGATTAGGACCTGTAATTGAACCCCAGTTTATTGCACAACAAGCAGGTTTCAGACCAGGGAAAAACTGTACAGCCCAAATTCTTAATCTGACCGAGTACATCGAGGAAGGATATGGGAAAGGTTGCATTACTGGAGCAGTTTTTGTCGACCTTACAGCAGCCTATGACACGGTGCAGCATAGGAAAATGCTGCAGAAAGTCTACCATATTACCTGAGACTATGATCTCACAAAAAATATCCAGACTCTCCTAGAAAACCGTAACTTCCATATGGAGTTTTAGGGCAGGAAAAGTAGATGGAGGAAACAAAAGAATGGTTTACCCCAAGGCAGCATTCTTGCATCAACCTTGTTTAATATCTTTACTAACGATCAGCCACAACCACCACTCACAAAGAGCTTTATATATGCTGATGACCTTGGCCTCCTAACAACACAAGCAAAAGACTTTGAAACAGTTGAAATCCAACTTACTAATGCCTTGAAAGAGCTCTCCAGCTACTGCAAAGATAACAACCTGAAGCCTATCCCTGCCAAAACACAAGTGTGTGCTTTCCACCTACACAACCATGAAGCGAACAGGAAATTGAAAATCACCTGGGAAGGTCAAGAGCTTGAACATTGTTTCCACCCTAAATATCTCGGTGTCACCTTAGATCAAACACTAGCATATAGGAAACACTGCTTGAACACCAAGCACAAAGTAGCTGCATGCAATAACCTCCTGCGAAAACTTACTGGCAGCACATAGGGTGCAGACCCAAAATTAGTAAGAACATCAGCCCTAGCCTTGTCTTACTCCACTGCCGAGTATGCCTGCCCTGTTTGGCATATATCTGCCCATTCTAAGCAGGTGAACATAGCATGAATGAAACATGCAGAATAATCACAGGATGTCTTAAACCTACACCTGTTGATAAACTACAAGCTAGCTGGCATTGCCCCCCGTCCCCGATGTGCAACAGGAAGTTGCTGCTAAATGTGAGAGAAATAAGGTTGAACAGTAGACTCAAATAGACACAAATCAATAAGGTTGAACAGTAGACTCAAATAGACTCCCAGTAGACTCAAATCAAGGAAAAGCTTTATGAGAACGACCACTCCTCTTGGCGTCCCCCCAGCAATAGCAAGGGTATCCCTCTGGGCAGCTAAACCAGGAAACCCCAATTGGATGCCCCCCCCCCCACAAGGGTCTTCCTCCAGGGCAAACCAAGAATGGGCAATCTAGAAGTCCCTGAATAGACTCAGATGCGGAGTGGGAAGATCCAAAGACAACCTGGCCAAATGGAACCTATATAACTGTGGAGCAGAACAGACAACTCTGCATCTGTATGCTTGTCCATTGTACCCTGCCTCATGTACAGAGGAGGAATTGTTGGAGGCTACAGACAATGCCGTTGCTGTTGCCCGTTTTTGGTCAAAAGATATTTAGCTGCCTGCATACCTTCTATTTTATCAGTTTTATACTAATTTATGCAATGCTTTTGATATGAAATAAATAAATAAATAATAATAATAATTATATATTCATCATTTTTCTTCATTATCGTTATTTGATATGATTATTATAATTGTTATATTATTATTATATGATACGATTTTATATTATTGTTATATCATTATAATATTTATATATTATTATATTATATATTTAGAATAATTATATTATTATCATACACACTATAATAATAATATTATAACATAATAATAATACTATTATAATTATTATAGAATAATAATAATATAAAAATATAAAATCATAACAAGAATGTTAGGAAACCTATTAATAATGATTATATTCTATAATATAATAATAATGTTTATCTCTATTATTATATTGTATATAATCATTATATTTTACATTATTTATTATTATTATTATTATTGTTGTTGTTGTTGTCTTACCGAATACAGCAAGAATGATGGACCCCACCAGCATGATCAAGGTCTGCAAGGTATCCGTGTAGATGACCGCAGCTAAGCCTCCTAATAATGGATATGAATGGGGAGAAAGAGGTGTGAAAGGGAACCCAGAGGGTAATTAGTCTGACCCCCTTCCTAGGCAGGAATGTACTACTAGAATTCCAAGAAAGAGCCCCTTACCCGTAATGGTGTAGAGGGCCGTAATGGCCAGCAGCATGATGATGGCCACATAGATGTCCAGCCCCATGGCCAGCTTGATGAAGATGGCCCCGGAGAAGATGTCCGCCTGGAGAAATAAATATTAGCAGAAATATTATTATTATTATTATTATTATTATTATTATTATTATTATTATATTGCATATTATAATTTTATTTTAATATATAATGTAATATAATAATTATATTATTACTAGTATATCATATTATATATTATTATTTTATATATAACTAGCTGTCCCCTGCCACTCATTGCTGTGGCCCAGTCTGTGTATATGTGTTTTGTGTGTGTATATATTTCTGTATATATGTGTGTTTGCATATATATTTGTGGTTTTGTGCATGCTTTGTAATTTTTTTTTTGTTTTTTGGCTTTTTAAGCCCTTTCCACTGTGTTTTTTTGTGTTTTTATGAGTGATGCTCACTCGTTGGCCTGATACGTCTATTATGTCCAAATTTGGTGTCAATTCGTCCAGTGGTTTTTGAGTTATGTTAATCCCACAAATGAACATTACATTTTTATTTATATAGATATATTATTATATATCATATTATTTTAATTAATATATTTATTATATTATATTGTAAAATTATATTATAAGTATATTATAATATTAGTATATTATCATATTAAACATTATTATTTTATTTTAATATATATATAAAATTATATTATTATAATAATATATATTATATATTGTTACACTATATAATATTGGATTTTACTATAATATAATAACGATTATAATTATATTATATTATTATGTTATATTATAGTAAGAATTTATTGTTTTATAAATTAGTATAATAGTATCATATACATATGTGAGTGTATGTATATGTGTGTGTGTGTGTGTGTGTATGAATATATATGAATGATTGCATATATTATTACATTGTGTTACATTATATATTATGACATTGACAAGATCCTTGGAGCGGTGAGAATGACCACATGTGCTCTAGACCCTTGTCCCTCCTGGCTTATCAAACTTGCCATTGGGGGATTAGCCAAGTGGTTTGCGAAGATTATAAATGCCTCGCTGAATCAGGGACAATTACTGGCTAGCCTAAAACAGGCAATTGCGAGACCAATCCTGAAAAGGTATCCCTAGATTACTCGGTCCTTAACAACTACTGACCATTTTTTCATCTCCTTTCTTGGGCAAGGTTCTAGAGCGAGTGGTGGCTTCTCACCTCCAGGGATTCTTGGATAAAACCAATTAACTAGATCCATTGCAGTCTGGTTTCAGGTCTGGTCACAGAACGGAAAAGGATTTGGTCGCCTTGGTGGGTGACCTCCATGGAGAGCTAGACAGAGGAAATGTGTCCTTGTTGGTTCTCTTCAACTTCTCAGTGGCTTTTAATACTATCAACAATGGTTTCCTTTTGGGTCGTCTCTCTGGAATGGGTCTTGGGGGCATTGCTATGCAGTGGTTCCACTCCTTCCTGGAGGATTGTACCCAGTTGGTGAAGCTGGGAGACACCTGCTTGGACCCCTGGCCATTGACTTGAGGGATCCCGCAAGGTTCCATTCTATCTCCCATGCTTTTCAACATCTACATGAAACCGTTGGGAGAGGTCATCCAGAGTTTTGGAGTTGGGTGCCATCTCTATGCAGATGACAAACAACTCTACTACTCCTTTCCACCGAATTCCAAGGAAGCCCCCTAGATACTGGACCAGTGCCTGGCTGCTGTGATGAACTGGATAAGGGCTAACAGGTTGAGGCTTAATCCAGACAAGACAGAGGTCCTTCTGGTCAGTCATAAAGTTGTTCGGGATATAGGGTGGCAACCTGTGCTGGACAGGGTCCCATTCCCCCTGAGGACACAGGTCTGCACTTTGAGGGCCCTCCTGGACTCAGCGCTGACACCTGATGCTCAGGTATTGGTGGTGGCCGGGAGGGCATTTGCACAGTTCAAACTTGTGTGCCAACTGCAACCGTACTTTGAGAAGCCTGGCTTGGCTATGGTGCTCTACACCTTGGTTACATCTAGATTGGATTACTGCAATGCACTGTAAGTGGGGCTGCCTTTGAAGATGGCCCGGAAATTGCAACTTGTGCAAAGGTCAGCAGCCAGGTTGTTAACTAGAGCTAGTTACAGGGAGTGGACAACACCTCTACTGATCAGCTCCAGTGGCTGCCGATAAGTTTCCGAGCCCAATTCAAAGTGCAGGTTGTTACCTACAAAGCCCTAAACGGTTCAGGTCCTGCTTATCTTTGTGACCATATCTCCCTCTATGAAACGGTGCGAGCGCTACGTTCTGCCAGGGAGGCCTTTCTCTTGCTTCCGCCTCTGTCGCAAGTGCAGTTAGTGGAGACAAGGGAAAGGCCCTTCTCGGTGGTGTCCCCCCAGCTCTGAAACTCTCTCCTTGAGGAGATTAGATTAGCACCCACCCTGTCCTTCTTTCGGAAAGACCTGAAAACTTGGATGTTCCAATGTGCCTTTGAATAATAGTTCAGTTACTGATCTTTTAGTAGGATCTCCAGCACTTTATTTCCAGCTCCCGGCCCTATAGTTTGCGTTTGCACTAGCCCTTGTCCTGCCCTATTAGTCTCAAATCTGCACATGCTCACTTGTCCCGGCTATTGGTTGGTTGTTGCTTGGTTTATGTTTTATGATGTTTTACATTTATTGCTTTTATTGTTTTAATATAGTTGATTGTTATATGTTTTAATTGCGTTACTTTGTATTTTATATTGGGATTGGTCCCCATATAAGCCACCCCAAGTTTGGGAGATGGAGATGGGATATAAGAATAAAGTTGTTGTTATTATTATTATTATTATTATTATTATTATTATTATTTGAAACACAACAAGATGAGTCCACAGCAGACAAGATCATTTGGCTGGCTGTTGTATTGGATCACACATCGGACCCTTCCCAAGTGTCTAGAACTGTGTGATGTATCGGCAAATAATGCATGCAGATCCCAGTAAGATGGCAGATGGTAATTTTGTCAGCGCCGATTGTGTTTAAGTGCAGGCCAAGGTCTTTAGGCACTGCACCCAGTGTGCCGATCACCACTGGGACGACCTTGACTGACTTGTGCCAGAGTCTATTATTATTATTATTATTATTATTATTATTATTATTATTATTTGAAACACAACAAGATGAGTCCACAGCAGACAAGATCACTTTGCTGGCTGTTGTATTGGATCACACGTCGGACACTTCCCAAGTGTCTAGAACTGTGTGATGTATTGGCAAATAATGCATGCAGATCCCAGTAAGATGGCAGGTGGTACTTTTGTCAGCGCCGATTGTGTTTAAGTGCAGGCCGAGGTCTTTAGGCACTGCACCCAGTGTGCCGATCACCACTGGGACCACGTTGACTGACTTGTGCCAGAGTCTATTATTATTATTATTATTATTATTATTTGAAACACAACAAGATGAGTCCACAGCAGACAAGACCACTCTGCTGGCTGTTGTATTGGATCACACGTCAGACCCTTCCCAAGTGTCTAGGACTGCGTGATGTATCGGCCAATAATGCGTGCAGATCCCAGTAAGGTGGCCTTAGATGGTAATTTTGTCAGCGCCGATTGTGTTTAAGTGCAGGCCAAGGTCTTTAGGCACTGCATCCAGTGTGCTGATCACCACTGGACCACCTTTACTGGTTTGTGCTTATTATTATTATTATTAAATTTTATTATACTATATTATATTGTATTGTTATCACACACACACACACACACACACACACACACACACACAATATTATATCTATCTAGCTATCTATATCTATCTATTTATATCTATATCTATATATCTTCTTGAACCTGCAAGGCCTTGTTCTTGATTCCAAGGTCCAAGCCCCTATTAGTCCCCTTTCTGCCTCATTAAGTCTCCATTAAGGCATTCTTTAACTGCTTTCCTTCAACCTTTTGATGGCTTTTATGATAGGGTATTAAGAGCTGGCCCATTAATTAGTAACCCGCTTAACGAGGGGTCAAAGGTTGCCACGGTCGGCTCTCATTCTCTCTATGGAAACACAGAGAGAGAGAGAAGCCCGGCTGCTCTCCTCAAGGGACAAGGTGCTTGTGAGAACCTGGCGGTGGGGGCCACTCTGGATGAGGCGCCTTCCCCTTTGAGGCTCCTCCCCCTTGAAGGAACCTTCATAGGCAGCAATGGCAAAGAGTGCGGCAGGATCCAAGGGGCAGGGCTACATCAGAGAGGCTCCTCCCCCTTATTATATTATTATAATATTATAATTATACATATTTTATATTAGCTTCAGGAGGAAGAGGAAAGGAGCGAGGCTACATCGGAGAGGCTACTCCCCCTTATGTTAATATTATATGATATCTTGTTATTATATTCACATAGTACTATGTTATATATCTTCTATATATATATAAATGCTCTGTGCATAATGAGTGCCTTAAAAACAAAAGAACCAATGAACGAAATCACACCAAATTTGGCAACAAAACGTCTCACAACACAAGGAGTGACCATCACTCAAAGAATTATGATTTTGTCATTTGGGAGTTGTAGTTGCTGGGATTTATAGTTCACCTACAATCAAAGAGTATTCTGAATTCCATCAACGATGGAATTGAACCAAACGTGGCACACAGAACTCCCGTGACCAACAGAAAATACTGGAAGGGTTTGGTGGGCAATGACCTTGGGTTTTGGAGTTGTAGTTCACCTACATCCAGAGAGCACTGTGGACTCAAACAATGATGAATCTGGACCAAACGGCATAAATATTCTATATGCCCAAATATGAACACAGATGGCGTTTGGGGGAAATAGACCTTGACATTTGGGAGTTGTAGTCACTGGGCGTTACAGTTCACCTACAATCAAAGAGCATTCTGAACCCCACGAATGACAGAATCGGGGCAAACTTCCCACACAGAACCCCCATGACCAACAGAAAATACTTAAGGCCATCCAATCCAACTCCCTTCATCAGGGCAAGAAAACGTAATCAAAGCCCTCCTGACAAAGAGCCATCCAGCCATAGACATAGATAGATAGATATGATTCACACACACACAGATATAGTATCATAGATTTGAAAAGGACCCTTAAAGAAGGA